TTTGTCTATACCTTGACGGAATTATTGAGTCGACATCAGAATTTATCTTTTTGGGGTTTATGACTTTCTCCTTTTTTATCTATATTCCCCAACATCTACGCCATTTTCCATCGCTTTGTTGAACGCCAAGCAGTTGATTGGAAACTTGTCTGGAGCAGGGAAGAGGGCATAATATGAGTGTTTAGACCCAGAATAATTCCGTTCAACTTGTACGCAAAGGGACCGCACTAAAAGAATAAGCGATAATTTTGATTTTCCAAGATGTTGGCAACAAAGAACAAACGAGCCCCTCTCGTGATTGGTTGATTCACACACGCACACATATATAATGAACTAGACATGATAAGGATTTCTACTCTCTAACGCGGGCGCATATATTTGTTTGTTGGCCCAAATCTATAAAAGACACAGAACATAACATCGACCATCGTTTAGGCCTTGCCTCTGTGATTGTATATCTCGATCAATATCGACCCACTCAGAAGAGAACCACCTTACCATGAACTGGTCCTTTAGTTGATATTGGGTTTGACCACTCCTGTTTTGTATATACTTATTAGGGGTCAATTTTTGCAGCAGTGGGAGTAATGGTGTCGTGAAAGATTTGAGCTGCTGATTCGCTTTGACTTGTGTATCATAAGAGCATCAATAATTTGGAATCCAAGCATGACAGGATCTCCCAAAACCTCTGGTTACTAATGAGTGTCGTAGGGGCCCTAATAATGCAACTTGTGTGGGCAGTGGAAGGGGAATTATCATAAAGCTTGCGAAGTTAAAGGGAAGCTATTCACAGTTCACAAATATAATTTTTAGCTCCCAGGATATGCGTGGTGCGTGGATGATAGGATTCTCTGTTATCAGCATCACTGCTTTACTTTCCATGCATTTTATCCTTGGACCATCCAAGAAATTTAAATGTAATAATACAGACAAGTTTCTGATCTCCAGTTATATACTTAAATTAAAAGCTACTTTGAACAGCTTCAAGCAGAAAGACACTATTAAGTTACCAACATATCGTCGCGTTATAAGGTATGTTACGTATCTAACCCCTTGCAAAGAGAGGTAAAGGTGTGACAAATGTTATTGCTGGCCACATTTTTTTTCTTCCTTCTTTTCATTTTTCCTGATATGATGGTCCCTTTCAGGCTCAATGTGAAAGAAATAATACAAATAACGAAGACAGTGCTTTCGGTCGCCCACATGTGAGATATGAGTTCATACAGGTGCTTTGGTGAAACAGATTGAAAGCGCCACACGCATAAACTTTGGGTTCACTTTAATTTGAAGAAGCACGTAGCCTTTTAGCCTTAAAGTAACGTACAGCTAGCTAGCCATGTCTTCTACTCTAGCAACAAAACAAGCTCTGTTACAGTAAGCCTAACAAGCTACAAGAACGCTCAGGATAATCCGATAATATTTCGATTGGCACTCTCTCTCTTTCGTTCGAGAAACAGTAACAACAAATAATTATGGTTCATGGCATGTGTAGGACCAACAGTACTCTGCAATTTGTTCAGTATTGTACCCTAAATAAAATAATGACCATCCGAAACAACAGATGTTTTCTTGTAGGAGTAGGAGCAGGAGTTGTGTGTAGGAGGAGGATGGCAGAAGCACAACATGAGGTTTAGAATATTTTTGCAGAGAAAGATGAGAGTAACAAGGAATGAAGCAGAATACGTCCAAAGACATGAAAAGGCGCAGCTTTTGGCTTTTAACTCATATCCCAGATAATATTATTATTCATACTGGGCACATTGCTAGAGTGTTAAAAGCTAAAAAATGAACTCTTCATGGGAATCTCATCTCATATTTACAACTCTTGGTTTTTCCCCCTGTCTTTTCCATTCTTGTACGAAACTGCATCCATTTCCTGGCTTAGAGATATAGAAAATCCGAATTATGGGCGCGGTGCTGGGATGCGAGAGCCAAGAGCTATCGTCTTGCACTTAGCGGCTAGATGATTAGCAATATACATACGCCTCTAGCTTATGTAACTTGCGCCCGTCGAACAACTCAGTAACAGGTGGGCCCCACTACTGTCGTCTCCTTCCAAAACGTACCAGACCACGTACATAACTTTCTTGCCTTTGTTTTTGTTTTTCACTGTACATGTTTCATTAATAAAACAAGTTCATAACTATAATATAATAGTGCGTCCATAGATATTTCAGTTTGCACAAGCTGATGATGGCGGATCATAAGGATCAATGGTCAAAACCCTTTAAACCTCAATGATGAGTTAATCACGAGAGAAATCAACTTATATTTTGAAGATCAGTACCATGTCATGAGAGCGATTGATGGGAAACCTGATTCTTGCTGATCACAATAAGCAAATTAAGGAAGGCATGCACGTGAGAAGGGAAATTAGAAGAATAAGGAGTGAAGTTTACGGGAAGGAAGCAAACAAGGGGAGATAGAATAGCTAGGCGTGTGAATAATTCAGCCCCAAACAGGGGAAAAAGGGAAAAAGAAGGCGTTAAAGTTTAGACTAATAATTATTGAGAAACTAAATGGCTAACAAAGTATCCATGGTTTGCACATATTGTCGCTCCCACAGTATTTGCTTGGAAAGTAACAGCTAGCATGAGAGACAAGTCCGCTTTCTCCGTCACCACTTGTATATAAAGCCCACCAATGTGACTCCCTCTCTGCTCTCTCTCCACCATACGCTCTCTTCTCAGCCTCTAGTTCTTCATCATCATCGCTGTTTAGAATAATGGCGTCGAGCTCGACTTGGACGGCGAAGCAGAACAAGAGATTTGAGAATGCTTTGGCGTTGTACCCCGAGGAGACGCCGGACCGGTGGCAGAAGCTGGCGAGAGCGGTGGGAGGGAAGACGGTGGAGGAAGTGAAGAGGCATTATGAGAAGCTTGTTGAAGATGTGAAGCTGATCGAGGAAGGCCATGTCCCTCTGCCTGATTACAATACAAACACTGAAGCATTACGAGGAGGACCGTCTTCCACCCTCAGAACTTACACTTACTTGGATCATCAGGAGCGAAGGTTATTCTTATCTTAGATTCCTCTGATATTACCTTTAACTTACTCTTCCGATCCCCTTCGCTTTGCTCTCACTCTGCTTTTAATGGCAAAACTAGGATTCTGCTTGCTGTGGCTGTATTATGTCGTATTTAGTTTTGTTTTCTACTTTGGTTCTCACCCACATGTAATGCAGGATGAGAATCTGAGCCTCCAGTGAAGTACGTCGGAAGGAGAGCCACTGGGGAGAAATGGAATATATATATATATCATCAATCTGAAAGCATGTGCCTACTTCCTCATTCTCAATTAAGTATATTTGTATGTAATATGCTTCGCTTTGTCCATCCTCCTTCTCTCTCTCTCTCTCACCCTCTCTCTTTCTCTCTCTCTATGTGAAGAATGAAAGCCTTGTAATAATCCTACAAATGTATAAAATTTAATTGAAGTTCAATGAATGGTATGTTTTTGCCATGGCCATGTAGTGCGAAATGTAAAACCTCTGGATATAATGTATATATACACCAAAATTGCAGTCCCAGAGAGCCGTCCCAACCTAATAATAATATATAACAAACCTGAAGGTCCTGAAATTTGAAGGTTACATAAGACGACAAGCAACACACAATTTTTTTATCGTGTGTTATATAATAATGAGAGAATAAATGACAAAAGTAAGGAGAGCATCGATTTTTTTTTCCCAGAAAAAAATAAATTTGCTCAGTTGAAATGTAAATTAAAATTATTTAAACTTGATTGAATCAAATGACAAAATGATAAAAATAATTAAGTATTTTAATTATTAAACTCGTTTTGAAATTTTCATTTTCAAAGCACAAAGCGTAAGTATTTATAAAGTATAAACTCTCGTGTATAAAAAGAGGGGGCACGTGTGAAATCAAAGGCACCGACCATGGTGGTGTATTCATTATTATTGTCTGCGGGATTCGGAACCCAAGGAAACAAAATAAAAGTGAGTACCCAATCTTACACAAGCTACAAAGAAAATCAGGTAAATATGACTTTGATTCAAAATATAAAATAAATTTTTTAAAACAATTAGTTTTTTAATAAGATAATATTTACTTTTGTTCAAATATTTAATAGATTTTTTTTCAATTTTACCCTTATATATTCTCTTTTCTCTTTAATTCATTTATTACATCTTTTACTTATTCTCTTCATTAATAAAGATATATTAGGAAAAATGAAAATATGCTTGACACGTTTATTGTTTTAAATTGATTTTAATTAGTTTCTTGATAAACGTAAATAGATAAAGTTTAGATTATAGTTTGAACAGCTTCAAGCAGAAAGACACTATTAAGTTCCCAGGAGTAGTTATTAGCAATTTATATTTTGACTAAATCAAACTAACCAGAATAGGATTGTAAAGACAGCGAGTTTGTTTGATTCATGATTTTATTACTAACACGATGAGTGGGTCTTTATACCAACAAAAAACTACGTAAAGACCTTTCCTCTTGTTTGAGTCTGATGATTTCTTTCTGAGGACTAGCTGATCATTGCACGTTATTGTGATAGAACCCATGCACAGTGATTCTCTTATTGATCTCTTAATTTTCCTCAAAGCAAATACTCCACGTAGCCTAAGTCTGGGACCGAATCATATTAAGTATATCTAACGAACCATTTAAGCTACTAAACGAAACTAATATATTAGAAATCCGTAATAGCCATATTGAAGATCTAGCCGTTTATTAGTAAAGATGGAACTTATATATACGATTATTGAGATCAGAGTATGACGCAAGAGTACTGCAGGTTAAATGTCCTGGTAACTCGTACTAAACAGTAAGCAGTGACGCTAAGCCACATGCACCTTATCAAAAGGATCTTTAAAAATCCTTTTTTTTCCTCCAAATGTGAAAAAAAGAGAGAATAATAGCTGGGTGCATATGCATATAGAATGAGAGGAGGAGAGATGCATATGCATATAGAATGTAAGAGTGCAGAAAAAGAGAGAGATAGGAGAGAAAAGATGGAGAGGAGGAGGAGAGTGAGTGAGATAACAAGAAGAGTGGGTGAAAAAGAAGAAGGCGATATATGATCGATGACGGAAGATACGTAGAATCAAACTCTATTGTGACCGATGAAACTTACAGGGTTTCTGCATTTCTACCATGCGGCATATATAGTGATAGCCCTACGTACACAACACTAATCTTTCTTTAATCCCTGCCTTCAATGGTAGACACTAGCCAGACAGCATTATATTATCTGCTTTACCATCTCATCTCATCTCATCCCAACAGAATATATTCGCATCCCTCTCATCACTCCACCATATCAACATCTTCATGCTCATCTCCGTCAGAACAAAACATTATTTTTGTGCCAGTCTTTACAAAGTCACGTCAGCGCCAGAAATCATAAGAGAGAAACTGAAAATGCTTCTCTATTCAAACGGTGATGTCATCCCAGATTTCACCTTTAGATCAGTACAAAAATATATACTGTATATGATTTTGAGTTATTTTGAATAGAATGGAAAATAATTATAAATATAAAAATGTCAAATCAAGTAACAGTAATGAAAATAGAAGGAAGTTATAATGCTTGTTAAGAAAAGAACCACATTCCCTGTCCCTGGCCTGCGTTGTAGTACCGGCATCTTGTAATCCGCAGGGAAAAATTCAACATCCATATCTAAGGGATGAGACTACATGTGATCCGTATCACATTATTTTTGAAGGCAAACCAAAAAAAAAGCATTCATTTCATTAGTATTTATCCTTCGTATGGACTTGGCTATGTAATTAAGGAACCTTTTTTATCCTTCCTATGGATTTGGCCACTTAAGGCCCGAAGATAGATTGGCCCAATATGCACAACCTCGCTTTCGGTACCCGCTGCGACGTGGTGTCATTACTTGCGATGATTAGCACGAGAAATATATGGAGATAACAACACTGAAGCGATGAGGCGAATATGGAGTTCACTTAAATAGCAGTGGAGGATTATAAAGTAACCCAAGTTGTAGACGACAGGTATATATAATACAATCAATACATCACATAACTTGTATCCTGAGCTTTTCTTTTTAAAAATAATTGGGAATAATTGAACAAATGGAGAGGAAATTGCACCAACCACCAATAGATCCGGGCTAGGATTTGGAAGCAAGCCGTTTGAATTGACGGGTGTACAGAAAGAGAGGATACAAAGAATGAGTATGATTTTCTTCTTCTTCTTCTTCTTTGGATAAACAAAGAATAAGTATGATTTATGATAGCGAAAAGTGGTACAACATCTGGGCAGCCACCGTCTTTCTAAACCCTGCCATTTCACTTGTGAGGAAGAGAGTGAAGAATGGAGGAGTCTATGCCTACATTGGAACCTGTAACTGTGCAAGTAGTCAGGTTAGAACTTCGAATTAATTAATTGAGAAATATCCTATTTCATTTCATTTAATTTATCTTGTTTCCTAAGCTGTTTGCCTCTCTGATCTTCCTGGGGGGTTGACTTACTCCGCTTCGGGAGCTAGCGATGGTGCACTAGTCGGTCCTTCCTCGGCATCTTGGGCCTCTCCCAGTGCTTCCGCGGACGGCGACGGAGACTGCGATGGTGACAGGGCTGGTGTTGGCGACAATTTTAACCGTAACGAAGGTTGATGGGGACAGGGTGGGTGATGGCGATGGCGATGGCGACAGCATCGATGACAACGAAGAAAGTGATGGTGATGGAGATGATCCCTCCGGCGGTGCACTTGCCGGCGCCTTTCCAGGTGACCCTACCGGTTCTTCTGACGGTGAAGGAGAAAGCTCGATGTCTCCGACCAGCGATGATGATGATCCTGAATCTTCCGGAGACGGTGCGGGACTCCCTTTGCCGAGGCCAATGTTGCTAAAATCGAACCATAATAATCTCTTGTCAGTTCCGAGCTTCCAAATCAAAACAGAATAAGAATTGACGAGAAGAAGTAAAAGGCATACATCTACATGTATATACACGAATACCTTTTGACCCAGTCGCTCCAGGGGGAGCCGCCATGACTACTATCGCTCATGGCGTCCTTGGCATCGTTGAGAGCTTGTTGGGCAGTTCCATCCTGAAGAGCTTCTTTGGCTTCATCACTATTAGCGGCCTGTTGTATAGTTTCTTGAGAGACGCCTGCCTCTTTTGCTTTATCCAGCACGCTCTGTAGATCCAATTCTCCCATTACCATTACAGCTGGCCCAGCCACCATCACACACACACCATCACCACCACCACTAAACTCATCTTTCCCATTTCTTTCCCCTTTTTGATTGCTGCAGATAATTCTGATGACTAACTCACTCCTTTCATTAGGATTGGGATGGGTGTTCAGGATGCCATAAATAGTTTTGAGATTGGCGTTTTGGGGGGCTTCTGGGTGACCACTCCCATGAGGTTCATACATGTGTTCATTCTCCCGCTGTCCCTCACATTATGCAAATTTGCTATCTACGTGCCCGTGAATTCCCATGTTTTATTCTCCAACGTTGGAATTTAGATTTTGCAGAGCTAGCTTCTTTTACGGCCTTACCTAGTTTTTTTAGACATATCCCTGTGCATGTCCGATTTTTCAGCAAAATCTGACCCCAAATCAAAGTCACAATACACAGTACAGAATTATATCTTAAACAGTGTTATTTAGTTTTTTACTCGGTATTTGGCGATGATGATAATGATAAGTACAAGATTAATGCCGCAGCACATTTTGGAACGAAAAATACCTAAGAAATCGTGAAAAGCATAATATGAAATAATTTATTCGCATTTATCGTTACAGAACATTTAATGCTCATTTAAAGTTTTGACCAATCGCCACGTCAAAAGTTAAAAAGAGAGGACCATTAGAGAGAGGCACATTGATGTGTCACAAGCTAAGAAGGCCCAACGTACTCTCATTTTTTTTCTTCCTCTTCTCCCTTTTTTTTTACCCCTCGGATACTCTCAGTCTTTTAAACATCAACTTGTAATCTTGTATACACTAGTGTAGCATTAAAGCTGGTAATTTGTAATCGGTGATATTATCTCCTGATTTTAATTTGATTTTAGATCTCAATCTATTTTTACAAAGTAGTGCTTATAGTAAAAATATTTTAAGAAAGATAATATCTATTTATTATAAATAACTAACTTAACTAATTTTCTTAGTCAATTCAAATTAATCAATTAATTTTTATATTAAAAATCAGATATAGTATATTTTAAAATAATACCAGGACTAAGGAGTTCTAATTTTCTCGTTAACTATATGTCTGCTTTCTAGTCTCGAAATAAGTCGGTCAAAGTGACAGGAGTTGGAAAAAGAATCTCAGGAGGCCGGTCAGTCATTCATTTGGCTTCATGTAATAATCCGCGTATGAGCCGTGAGTTGGACGGTAAACTGGATCCTACATCAATTTTGCTTTTTACCTCTCTTCTTTTTCTCCCTTCTTCAAGAGAAGAAGTGGGGCCTCACGATTTGTAATTATAAATAAGCAAGCCGCCCGATAATGCAACTAGAATAACTCACAGATATTACCCTTGTTACCATTTTTTTAATGACATATAACTGTAATGCGCCTCATACCTAGTGTTCAAGCTTTTGAGGCGAATATTTTGTTTTTAATAAAAAAACTATTGCAAAACATTTTCTTAAGTTGTTTTTCATATAAATATTTTGTACGGATCAACAAAAAAAGAAATTTAAGTAGTTAAAATGTGAACAATGAAGTCTAATCTTAGCTTTCTTTTTTACTATTTTCTTCTAAATTGCGAGCAGACTCATCGACTCGTTGGCCGAAGTGGTCTTCGCCGACACGTTTATTGTGGAAGAAAAAGGCCAAATTGTTTTGGCTGAGAGTGAAAATTACACACAAACGCGTATTTGACTTGATGTTAATTCGCTACTGAACATTTACTCGATAACGATGCATATGTACAGCATTCGACTAAACTGTTTTGTTCCATTTGACTGGTTTTGTGTTTCTGTTTCTGTCTTGGGCTGAGGGAGATGCCTGCCGTCATAACTCATTATTAATAAACCAAAATAATTAGAAATCTTATTCTGTAAATCCAAAGGTATTCACCATAAATAAACTGGCAAGTATAAATCGTTTCACGCGGAAGCATTGTTTTAAACTTATTTTTTTGCTTCTTTTTTTGACCTGATACTTATTTTTGTTTTATTTTGTTTTCAGCAACGTAAATAAAGAGCTAGACGATTTACTTGCCTTGAGCTTTTGTTTTCATCGGAAGGGTTATACTTCGATTTTTTTTTTTGGCGTGTCTGAAGGTGCTTGCTTATTATAACCCCAATAAATGTATCCTTATTTCCATTTCAACTTTTAAATTGGCTCTTCGGATTTTTATGCAGTTTTTTTTTTTTTGCCATAGATTTTTATGCAGCTTGATGTAGTATAATTTCGACACTGTTTGTAAAAATTCTCATAATAATATAAGTAGTATCATTCAAGTAAGCTATCTCTTTCCCTCCACGTTGAGATAATTTGAATCATAATTTATGTGTAGAGAGAGGAGGATATGAAAAAAATACTTAAAAATATAAAATAAAAATATGTACAGTGTTTTAAGAAATTAATTTATTTTCTGGCAAAAAAAGCAATTATTTATTTGATTCAACGTCGGTTTTTTTTTGGGGCCCCCTTAGCGAACATTCAACGTCGTGTCACAGAATTTAGACTGGATAGATGACCGGAGGGCGGAGGGCGGAGGGCGGAGGCCGGAGGCGGAGGGCGGAGCCCTCTGCTGTGCAGCCCAAGAAAACGTCATCGGACCGCGACATTTGTTCATGCTTTGGTGCGAGAATCTCAGAGCACAGATTACAGAAGACCCACGCACAAGATCATTCCTTTTTTCTTTTTTAAATTTAGTGAGAGGCAAAACGGGAAAACTTGGCTAAGAAAAAAATGATTATTAATTTTAAAAAGAAGAATAGCCTGCATCTTTTGTGATTTTTTTTAGTAAGTATAGGCATTTTTTTATTAAAAATATTTTATTTAATACAAGTATTAAATTTAAGTATTTTTTTTGGTTATTTGTAGCGTCGCTGTTAGCTTTCACTTTTTTTATATCTTGTGGACCCATGCACAGGGACGGCGGGTCCAATTTATTTAATAAAGAAATATACGTCCCCCGCTCTCCCGTCAGGATGGTTATGAGGCGCCAATCAGAAGAGGAGTTCTTAAAATAAGGCATCTACCCACCTGCTCCATTTTTGTATCTCAGCTTATTCCTTTGTTTTCTGAGTTCCCATGGCCAATACTACTGATCTCCCTAAAGCTTTTGACCTTTCGCATCCTTCTCAAGTCAAGGTACTTACCCTCAAACCACTTCTTCCTCTACAACTCACCATGTTTCCCTTTCCATTGATGCATTTTGTTGCTTGATTAAACTTCACCCGCTTCAAGAGTTAGGTTAAGAAACAGCTTAGTGTTGAGCACTTAACAGGGAAGCAGAGAATTTAACGAAATGAATATGCATGTATATATATATATATATATATAGTTTCTTCACAAGTCTCTTTCAGCTACTCATATTTCATTCTAATTTCTCGTTTGTGCAGGTGCATCGTTCAATATGCCTGCAGCTTGGGAAATTTACCGAAAGAATTTCGCAAATTGTACTAGCCGTTGAATCCGCCCGGCCAAATTGTGCGTTAGCAGTTCGGGCATTGTGCTCCTTACATTTCACTTTGGATAAGGCCAAGTCAGTTATCCGGCAATGTTCTCAGTCCAGCAAACTCTACCTGGTGATTTAATACCCAACTAATCTTTGTCACCTTTGTGATCCTTGCTGCTTCAGCTCAATTTCAACTTATTAATTTCAGACATTCTTGTTCGTTTGTTATCACCTGTGAATGATGACCAATAAATGGCATGCTTATTAAATTCAACCGTCTGTTTACTTGAAATGGAAAATCTTTCAGGCAGTCATGGCACACAAGATAGTTTCAAGATGTGAAAAAATACGGAGTGATCTGGAGTTATATTTGACCCAAATTCAACAAGTAGTCCCAATTTTGTTGGATGCTGAGGTGGGTTTCAAGTTCCAGCTATTAACAACTCTTGTTTCATTTCTTCAATAGAATCCTATCATCGCAACATGCTTGATAAGATCACAGTTGGTCTTGTTCTCTTGGGCTGAATAGTTGACCATTTGCCCGTATTTTCCTTGCGAATTGACTTACAGATATCTGGAACCATACATGATCTTAGAGCTGCAGAATTTTCCTTGGAATTCGCAGAAGAGGAAGCTAGGAAGGCATTACTGGAACTGCTTAAGAAGGACTTGCCCGGTTCAGGATTTATAAACGATGTTGAACTTGATGCTGTTCAGATAGCAACTTTGAGCTTGAAAATAGCTTCTCCTATAGCTCTCTCAGAGGAGAAAGCAGCTCTCAAGTTGCAGATTGACAAAGCCAAAGATACAGGCCAAAGGGAGATGGAACTTGTGAAATACTTATTATATCTTCTCATCAAATATAGGAAATTCATTTGTCAGCTTCAAACTAGAAACCAGTCCGAGAAACAGGTCCGGCATCATCAGTCAATGGATCATAAGCCGGATGCGAATGATGCAATGCATCAGAATCAAATAGGATAACCCAGTGAATCTCCAAGTTAAAAGATTCTTGGGTTATGTCACCGGCAAAATAATTGTTTATGCTGCTATTTGATTTGATGTGTATAAAATCAGAACTTGAGTGGAAAGGTTCAATGTTATGTTTGGAGCCAAGGTAGATTGTCCAGAAATTTTTCCGCCGCCCCTACCCCCCTCCAAAAAAAAATGTCCTGTCTAGAATCCTTTTCTTGTTAGACTGTACGACGAAAGGCACTTTTTAGCATGCATTAGCCTTTTCCATGGACGTCCTCCACGCACGCAATATATCTAATTTTAAAAAAAAAATAAAGAAAAGAATTGTAAAAGAGAACTTTCAGTTCAGCTAAAGCACAATTAAATTAGTTTTCACCACGTGGATGAATGATCAATACTACCATAACGGATAAATGCCAGGAAGAAGCAAAGCATAAGGTGGGAATTGCTTTGGCAGGAGGTAAAAGCAATTTCTCCAGTACAACACTGGAAGAATATGAGAATGAGAGGCAATCTTTTAATTAAGACTGATTTGGCGGAGTCCATAGGAAATGCTGCGCAGGAAGAAGCACTAAATTACACGTTATAGCCAAAAATATGATCAAAATTCCATGAAGTGTGGCGGGTATAAATGTTTGTCCTGTTCAAGTAGATCACAAACGCAACTGCAGCATCACATTGAGCCAAAATAGATTTGGAGTCATTCTAAACGCCAAGTAGAAACCATCCATGGAACGAAAGAGGCTTCCATTTCGTTTCAGAATCCCTTGGAAATCAGCAGCATCCTCTCCGCATGCTGCTGCTGAATCTTCGTCTCGTCGTCCCAAAAAGAAACCCAAATCGCCGTTTCGTCCTCCTGGGATTGCTCCTATCCAACCTCAAACCCAAACCACACAATCTCCATCTCGTTTCACAGCTGATGAAACCACAGGGCCATCATCGTCTACCTCTCAGAATCAACATATGAAGTCGCCATTCAAAACCATCCCACCGGATACTTCCTCTCAACCCCAAAAGAGGTCTGCACACCATCCAGGACAATCAGCAACAACTCTAAATACACCCAATGACTCTGAGAAATTGGAGACAGACACTGGGAATTCGAAGACTCAATGGGAAGAACAGAGCAAGTTCCATCCATCTGAAGAAATGATGAAGTTAATGCAAAATCGTAAAGTTGAAAAGGCCGAGGATCCAGTGTCCGGACAACGACAGGTGCAGCAATCGGAGGTACCGGAAAAAGTAGAAACACGGATGATGTTTGCCACCTCTAACCCTACTGGCAAAGACATCAAAGTTTTGAGTTCAACAAATCCTAAGGTCAGTACCGTATCATGCGTATCTCCTCAAAAGCCTCTTATAGCCAATGCTGGCAAAGCTCCACAGCAAGAAGATGTTTCAAACTGTGATCATAAACTAGCGACTGGGCTCCTAACTCAGCCCAAGGACGAGAATCCATTTAGTGTGACAACTCTGGCTGGCGATAACAGAGGAGCTACAATGAACGTGGGCTCCAAGTCAGGAAAGAAAGAGATTTTAATCCCCATATACAGGGCCTACAAGAAAAATCCAGGACAGCGACTTGAGGAGACCGCCGAAGGGGAGGAAAGCTCCGAGGAAGAGTCCGGTAATTCAGTGAAAAATGAAATCGGAAACGCATATGTGAACAGTAATATACAGAGCCTCAACAACTCATTGATGTGTCAGAGTTCGATCAACGACAGAGACCCAGGGGTCCATCTGACTCTTCCCCAAAAGCATGTGGAAGTCGTCAAGCTTGATGATAAACAAGGTTCGGAAATTAGAAAGCCCGAGGTTAATGTCCGCCAGAACGAGGGGTTAAGAATCCGAAGACGATGCCTCAGAGGACTCTTCGCGGAACCAAGTGACTCCGACCCAGATAACCCCAACAAACCTCAACGTCACGGTTGTAAATACAAATGCGGAAGTACTTAACTGAAAGGGACCAAGATATGCGGATTCTGTGACCAAATTTTCGTAACTTTGTCTTTAAAAAGAGAAATACCCTGTCACCATGTCTCTGACGTTCCTCTCTGAAATTGGAAAACAAGCGGCAATTAGCTCATTCAATTTAGAGACTGAAACTCGGTTTTATTTGAATTTTCATTTTGTTTATATTTATTGATGATTGTTCACGCAAAGCCCTTGGCTGCTGTCAGCCTTCCATGAAACCAAGGGGGCTCCAGAATGGGAACTGTCTCCATCATTTGCCCATAAATCTATTGGTTTATGCTTCAGATTGATATGAAGACTATCTATGCATGAGAAAGTGGGTTGGATGGAGACTTGGAAAATAATAATGGAATAATTGATCAACGCGATCATAGCCTGGCCCGAATTTAGAAATTAGACCATTCATCGTAGTACAGGTATTCATTCAATAACCATATAATAATATTACATCAAAGTAAGAACAAGTTAGATGACAGGTGACGATAGTAGCAGCTAGAAGGGAATGAGGCTTGAGTTTAAAAAAGGAAGACGCTTCCATTGCAGCAAGTAGGAATGGGACACAACTAGATATGTGAGATAATCTACTTTAAACATGATGGAACTAAGGGTATATATTTTTCCGGAGATTACAAATTTGGACATGGCGACCACTTGAGAATGCATATTTCATGGATAAAGACAAAAAAAAAAATAATAGAGATACAGGTATAGTCTCTTTCCCAATTAGCGTCATCATTGGCGGTTCCCGTGGTACGACTCAACTATGGGGGAATCTAGTTTACAGGATAAGTTTGAATTAATAAGTAAAATAATAATAATGATACGGGCGTAGCTGTCTGATGTTTATCTAGAGATGAATTTCACAGGATTTCCGTTGGGCAGGAATGGTATTCTAGCCCGGTTTGAGAGGGAAGCGTGTCAGACATGATACGGACGGATTAGTTTTTGGGGGGATAGGGCAGGAAGCAAGTCAGCAATACATGGACTGACCGTGCAAGTAAGAATGACCAAATCCCATCATCACATGAAAACAGAGCCTCAATTTGCCAGTACCATTACTACTTCGCTCCTAAATGTGGGAGTTGGAATTTGATCAGCCGCCATGCCTCAGCGTTACATGAAATTTAATTAAAGTTGTAAAACATTGTAAATAGCATGATCTTTTTCCTAAATTCTGTGCTGGATATATTTATTACCATCACGGTGAGTTGGAAATTTTCTCTTAAAAGAAAAGACGTAACAAACCGCAATAAATGGAAGATAGTAGCATTCACGATACAAGAAAGCAATTCCTAGAACTATAGTCCAAAAACAAAACAGCTGCGGGTCATCTTGTGGGTTTGCTCCTCTATCTGTGGGCGGCCAAGCCTTGAAAGATTGAATATTCAAAGACGGAGGCCCCATTTCCTTCTGGGATCCTCGATTTCCTCGATTTCATCGTAATTTGTTAAAGACCAACGTTTTCATAAAATTCTATAGTTGGGGCCCACCACACCTTTATTTATGAATAAAATACTCAAGGGATAAGAACGCACTGAAGTAAACGAATCTGATATCTGTTTACTGGACACTCAGGCTAAGCAAAAATATCTGGCTATATGGCTATATATATAGCACCGAAGGAAAAGAGCACAGTAAGAAACGCGTGTGATAAACACTGAGGGATAAAGAATTTCAGCAACGATGGGTTCTCTTATGGCAGGATGGGACTCTCCCACCTTAGATCCTAAATCAGGTATGAAATTAATGCATCCAAAGTATATCTTCTTTTTATGCTTTACGATTTAGCTTCGGTGGGTTGATTTCTGAAGAGGGGAAATCCTTTTCTCTTACTGCAGCAAAACTTGAGAGGAACAGGTCTCTCACTAAAGAAGAAATCGATGCTTTCTGGAAGTCACGGAAGCAGATAGAGGAGGAACACCTCAAAGCTATCGCCAGTATATCGGAAAATAATAAGGTCTGATATATTCAGAAATGATGCTATGCATGCTATTGTCCCCCCCCCCCCCAAAAAAAAAATACTAGAAGCTAAGCACTAATAGAGTCTGATTAACATTTGGTGGGGACAGACCAGCAAATACAAGGAGTCTGAGAAGTTAAGCAGCGTGGAGTTGGCTCGCATGAAAGAGTTCATGGGTGGGGATGCTGGCAACAGCTTGGAGCGGCTGATCAAGAAAAATGGCTGGTGAATATTTTCTTTAGTTTTGCCAATTAATGATGAATCATTAAATAGTGATTGCCGAATATGTACTAGGTTGTCTGGAAACAAGTTAACATAGAACATGGTTGGATGCGTGCAGGTGGACTAAGAGTAACTGGGCATTTCTGAATGAACCTCCGGTGATGGAAACTTCTTCTAACAAGTACGCATCGCAGTTTCACGTGGCCACTTCGGCATCTTCGAACAAAATGAACCCTGGGGACGGAATTAGTGCTGCTTAATACGACTTCAGTTTTCTCTTGCACTGTAAATAGCTAAATATTGTTTATGCTGTGTGCGCGCGTGTTTTTCAGCCTACGGAATATATACATGAAACTAGATCTTCTCCGGTTCTGGAGAGGTCTTGGGACACAGGGAGCGTGTGAGGATCATCTGATGTTTATTGAAGAGATCCATATTACCTACTTCCTCTGCCTATGTTCACATCGTCTTTCTCGGTGACAGATTAATATCCGTCCTGATTGGGACTTGATTTTCCGTTTTTGCCATTCAATGACATTACTCCAATATTATTAGGTGGCATGCTCGAAAATATCTTCGGGATAATGCTGAGCAATAATAGTATGATATTATTAACTAACAGGCCTTTAACTTCTTAATGAAAAAAATATCAAAGTGTGCGTGTCAATGGAGGGTTGCATTTAGCAGGCTTAGGCTTTGGATCTATAAAAGGGCTTCTTATCACCAGCCCACCTATTTATCTGGACCCCTGCAGATATGTCATAAATTTTGCAGCTCCCCATTGCATGCGGTGTGATTAGTGGTGTTTTGTTTTGGCCAGTGAGATTAATGGTTCTATTCAGCTCCCAAAAAAAAAAGAAAAAAAGAGATTAATGGTTCTATTATTTTATTCTATATAAGAAGATAAGGCTCAAATTTTCAAATAAAAATAGGCAATTCATCATTCTCAATTAATTACAGCCTGCGGAAGACAATTTTGGGATCAATAATAATCAATAAATTATTGCTACTAGAGGGATCTTATTGGTGATTGCTATAAAATCATGCCCCCGCTGAAGACTGAAGTAAGAAAGTTGCGAACGTGCTCATGATTTATGGTGATGTTAAAAGAGCAGACAGCCCAAGAATTACGCCTGACAGGTTCTGTTTTGAATAAATGGCTTCTTAGCTTGTGATTAAAGGAAAACTAATAATGGCTTCTTAGTTGCTGCTTGACTAGTGGCATCAGGCGGATGAGGGAGGGCGCACCCGCTAAAGAGTAGACTTTTCTAGAATATGTCGTTTCGTGCTTGCCACCATCCGCCCCGACTCCAACCTATTTCTTTGAAATCCCAAAATTGTCCTTAACCTACTCCTGCGTTGTAAAGGAGACCAGTCATGAGTAATGAAGGACCTCCCAACTACTTGTTTGCTGCTAAAACAAGAATCCCACACAAACGCATTCCCCTCCCCTCTCTGCTCCTTTCATCTTCTAGAAACAGCTTTCTTCAATTCTTCAATGTTTTGGGAAGCAAAGGCAAATAAGGATTCAGTAAAAATCATATCGGTATCATTGGGTCTGGAGGCCTCTGAACATGGAAAGGCGCATATGGTTTATATATTATTCATAAATTATAAAAAAAAAGTTATAAAATAGCCATCTGTTTGCGTGTAATACTTTTTTAGCAATCGTATCGTACTATCGTATGCGGTAAAATTTAAATATTTATAAATTATGAGCAATGTATGCCATGCCGTTTAAAATTTTTAATGTTGCGTCACTTCAATATTTGAAGTAAATAAATAATTTGTTATTTTCATAACGGACAAACAAAACGTCAGGAGCGAAATTTAACCGCGTTCTTAATTAGACAGCCCATTCTTAGGACGAGGTTGGAACGAAAGGGCGCTCTTATCACTTCAAACGTCTTCGTCGTGTATAAATAGGGGACGAACCCATTACGCATGCAGTCCAGAGTGTGATTAAAGGAAAACTGATCGACAAGGAGTCAATGGCGGAGAAAAGCAAGATTCTGATCATCGGAGGCACCGGCTACATCGGAAAGTATATAGTGGAAGCAAGCGCTAAGGCAGGCCATCCCACCTTCGCTCTCGTGAGGGAAAGCACCGTCTCCGATCCCATCAAGGGAAAACTTATCGACAATTTCAGAAACTTAGGCGTCAATTTAGTGCATGTAAGTCTCGTCTTCTATGGATTGCTCATAAGCATTGTTCTTGGTTGATCGGAGGGTAATTCAGAGTGTGGAGTCCAAATGCAGGGGGATCTGTACGACCATGAGAGTTTGGTGAAGGCCATCAAGCAGGTGGACGTGGTTATATCAACCGTGGGTCATATGCAGCTAGCAGATCAAGTCAAGATCATTTCTGCTATTAAAGAAGCTGGTAACGTTAAGGTATCACTCTTCCTTCTCAAACAATGTCTTCTTGTTCTTGAGGTCCGATCATATTCTGAAGAGGTATTTGTTTTGCAGAGATTTTTCCCTTCAGAATTCGGCAACGACGTGGATCGTGTGCACGCGGTGGAGCCAGCAAAGTCTGCGTTTGCGATCAAGGCCCAAATCCGACGTGCTGTTGAAGCCGAAGGCATACCCTATACTTACGTTTCAAGCAACTGTTTTGCTGGCTATTTTCTGCCCACATTGGTACAGCCAGGAGCCACTGCTCCTCCCAGAGACAAAGTCATTATCTTGGGCGATGGCAATCCCAAAGGTACTCCTCCGTTCTTTTGGATTTCAATGTGTTTTAACATGATTACTGGTGGTAGGTAGTGACATTACTGTTTGCATCTTTCGATATGGATTAGCCGTTTTCAACAAGGAAGAGGACATCGGAACCTACACAATTAGAGCTGTGGATGACCCTAGGACTTTGAACAAGATTCTCTACATCAGGCCTCCTAAGAACACTTATTCCTTCAATGAGCTGGTTGCCTCATGGGAGAAGAAGATTGGCAAAACCCTCGAAAAGATTTACGTTCCAGAAGAGAAACTTCTCAAGGACATCCAAGGTCTGTGAGTGTTCGTTGTAAAATTTGGGTTGTTATCTTGATGGCGATTCATTCATGTCTGACTGAATCTATGAAATTTTTTCCTATTTTGTTTGCAGAATCGCCTATTCCTATCAATGTGGTTTTGGCAATTAATCACTCGGTGTTCGTGAAGGGCGACCACACTAACTTTGAGATTGAACCTTCCTTTGGTGTTGAGGCTTCGGAGCTGTACCCAGATGTCAAGTACACCACCGTCGAAGAATACCTTGACCAATTCGTCTGAGAATTCAAACTCAGAATTGCGTGCTATGCTCCTCCGGTTGATTCAATAAATCTGTAATCTGAGTTTCTAGCTTCGGTGTTCGATGCCACTTTTCTTATCGTTTTTTTCCTTTAAAACAAACTGCTGTATAAACTCGTGTGTTGTACCCCAAATATCATATTTACTCCTATCATGATCTTGAGTTTGTTCAGAAAAGCTTATGGACAGAGAAATGAGAAAAGGAAATTGAGGGGGGGACTGATTACTGGAACTTGTATTTTGTTTTATGAGAAATGAGAATTGACTGATGGACTCGTAACTGAGGTGGCCTGCCAATTTTATTGTTATGTTTCATTCTTCATTAAAACATGTGGATGGAACTTTTGATCCCAAAAAAAAAAAGGAGACGTGGACGGAACCGTCGGGAAAAGAGAATGAAAAATGTGTATAAACATGTATCAACTTAAGGAAAGACAAAATAATTGGGCACCATATGAGTACCAAAAATAATTAGACAATACCTATGTGTATTAATTAATCTCAGGTCTAGTCGTATTAGAGTCAAAACTTGCGGTTATAGTTTTTTTTTATAATAAAAATAAGTTTGCTAAAAAATCCTATCAAATTTATGTAACATGTATAGAGAGAGAGACTTGAGATTTAAGAAAAATGTCCAACAACTGACCTTCTTTTGCCTTTGCTGATAAACATGGGATTATGTTCAATTGACTTATTAGCTGCATCATTAGAGATGCAGACTAAAAAGCATAGTAAAACAAGGGTGATTGGTTAACAGTACAGAACGATGTCTTGACCTCAAACTTCACTCCCATAAGAAAACAGGTTTAATCGTCCCAAAAATATTTACATTATTATTAGAGCTTGTTGGGCTTGGAATACCCTTGCACATAATGAATGACAACGTAGCCCCACAATGAATCAAAGCTCCCCATTGTACCCACCCAAACAAAGGGCTAATTTAATTAGCAACTTTGAGTTGTTTTTTTAAATTAACTATATATTGAGTCTCAGTGTATTGCATGAAATCCCCTAACTATATTTACAGTTCGATGAACAATGTGAGTTTCGATGCACTTTATTGATATTTTGAATTTGGTAAACATGTATTACATCGAGTCCAATGTTAATCTGCTAATTAGAAGACCTTGTACCAATATAATCTCAAGAAATATTTTTTCTTACAACATGAAGCCGAAGGAGATCGACCCCACAAAAATCCAATTCATAGAGCGGTTGCTTGGGTTTACAGAAACCTTTCCAACAAAATAAAAGGCTCTGTTTCTGGCCATCGTCATAATGCAGGCGTGCTGAAGGCAACCAGTCTTTCGCAATGATTACATAAAACAGAGAGAGTCTCTTTTCCTTGCTTAATTATTTGCAATGAATGATAGGGATGCTTCATCCACAAGTGAAAACTTCACCCACTGACATGTATGCTTACTGCAACAAACTCTGCAAATATATAGATGCAATCGATGTAATTTGGAAGTCAAAATGACGACGCTATAAGAAGAAAGCACAACCTCCACACCAAACTTTGATTCGTTTGTGAAAGTTCTTTTTCTACATTCAACCAACCGAGAATGCCTTAAATACATTTTTTTAAAATTATTTACTAGGGGGGAATAGTAATCTTTATGGTACATTTTTAAAATTATTTACTAGGGAGGAATAGTAAGCTTTATAGTTACGTTAATCTTAATTTATAATCAATATGTTGGGAAAAAAGAATCATTAAGTCAATATATCGTATAATACGGATATATTTAACAAATCTATAAAAAAAACTTTCTTATTCATGAGTCATGAGTTGCATGACTTATCTCAAGTTATGTGCAGAACACAAGACTCACAGTCCAGCTAAGAATGAAACATTTGATTCCCAACCTACAAAAATCAAATATGTTCTATCCTCTATATCATGAAAAAAATACTAATTGACACCTATGCAGTATGATATAATAATACGCATTCTCATCAACTTTGTAAGGAGTTGGAGAAGGACAGGAGAGAGAAGTCTGGGATCCGAAGCCAGCGATCAGCATCATCAAGTACTTGCTCAGTCGATTCCTGTTTGTTCAACTTGTGTTTTTGGAGAAAGAAGCTTAAGCCCATCTGTGTTGTTTCGTTGATCATGATACGAATATGAAGGCAGTGATGGACTTGGTGCTGGTGAAGGAGCCATTTCCTCTGCAGCTACTATCCTCAAGGCTGCCTCTACCTTTGTTCTGATTCTGATCTTCGCATCATTCTCTGGCTTACCCATCATTCTCCTAGCCTTCGTTCTCTCTGTTATGTTTCCTGCAATATTTCAATACGAACCAGAAATAGAAAACGAATATTACCAGGGCTTAATTCTTGAAAAGGTGGCAAAGAACTGAACCTAACCAGCAAATATGGTCATAGCGGAGAGAACCAGAGGTGTCTACCATTTACACTGAACTCGGACTGGGAATTCTCTGACAAGAGAATAAGGGTCGGCGTGATGATGGTAAGGAATGCCCAGAAGACGAATATTGGAACCAGAGTTCTGTCACTCATTTGTCGTAACTGCAACTAACGAAACCAATATAATGAAATGCACATATCCAATCCAAGGTTTATAATAAGAGGGAAAGGCGGCGTGGTTACGCTCTGAACATGAAGAGAATAGTTGGCATGTTTCATAAAGATCGCTCTTGGAGATTTGAAACTTGTCAGATGGGTGTTTGTGTAGCGTTGCTTTGATATAAAACAAAAGAATCAAATAACAAGGGAATCATAAATTATTGGATGGTTGTTAATAGCCAAGCTATCGGCCACCAGGCTTTTGCTTCCAAGTCAAAATCTGCTTTGGCTAATCATTCATGCTTTTATACATGTGGTTTTCTTTGTTGTGCCTTTCCTCTTACTCAAATAGTTTTGGTTTTCTTCTTCTGGGAATGACTGGGTTGAATTTAGGAGGCACAGAATAATTCATTGACTCAATATGGGATGATTTATTCTGTAGGGAGGAAATGCAAAACACTCAGATAAGCCTTCTAAGAGAAAAGAGAGTTAAACATGTAACAGTCGTGGTGAAAGCACTTCAAGTCTTATATAAGCAGAAAGCAAAAGTTTCTCAACAAATGGCGTCTGCTGCGTAACTGAACATAAAAAGATTTGCAGGCGTGAAAGCGTGTACATATAAAAGCACAGGTCCTTCAAAATTTTATAGGTCCTAGTGCTCTGTATGTTGAGCATGCCAAGCGATAAGTAACTAGGAAGATCCGTGCATTTATTGACCAAGAGAAAATTTGCTAAACATTCTTAGATGCAGGGTATATAGAATGCACAACTTCGCCTTCACTTCTTAACATTTTTTTATTAAGAAAAATTCAGCTTACTTATATCCATTATTTATTATGTCAGGTTATTAAATTGAACATAGTCATGCATTTTAATTTTTTATATGAATTTATAATTTAATACTATTAACTGTTAATATTTTAAAAAATAGAGTAAAATACACTGTTTATCCTTTGATGTTATCTCAATTACAAAAACCTCTTTTTTATTTGGAAAACGTATATAAACCTCTCTTATAGTTAAAACATATGATGCACAGACCTCTTTCTTATATTTAAGATTTTATTTTTATCCACCCAAACTGTTAGTTGACCGTTAGGTTTGATTTTAAATTATTTTTTGACCAAAGTACCCCCTTTTAAAATTAATAATTATTTAGATATTTATATTTTCTAAAAAATGTTTTTATAAAATTAAAAAATAATTATCTTTAAAATCTGTAATATGTTATAAAATTTATTGATTTTGATCTAAATCATAAAATTATCTAATTTTAATATTTTATCATATTGATTATAAATTATTTACTTTGATTTCTTTTAAATTGTAAAAACATATTTCAAATACATAGTTTTTGTTTATCATAAAATTTAAATAATATAAGTTTAAAAGATTTTATAAATTATTTAAATTTATAATTCAAAAATTTTAAACACATCTTTGTTACAAAAATTTATAAACATATTAGTTAAGCATATATAAATTTATTAGAAATTTAGTTAAATTTTCAATCAAATCTTTTATGTTTATCTTAACTAAATGAAATTGATGTAATTGTAAAAATTTAATTTAAGAATTTATTAGAATGAAGAGTAAAATAGTAAATAAATTTTATTTTAATATAAATTTCAGTTAAAAATAATATTTTTAAAAATTTTTTAGAACACTCCTAACGATGTTAGCTAATTGGACTAAACTGTATGCTTTAAAATAGAAGGGAGTTTTGTATAATTGATATAAACTAGAAGGATAATCAGAGCATTTTACTCTAAAAGATAATATATGTGATTATATGTGATTGGAAGCAACTTAGTGTAAGTATCCCTTAATCTTCCCTCCTAAGGTCTTAGTGCATCATAATTCTTATAATTTAAAATTGAAGTTTATTACATGTTAATAGAGTAGAAAATGTGATAAAAAGCATAAATTATTTACATCAAATTTTTTATATTTATTGTATCAAATTTTATAATTACACATGACTATGTATCTTATTTTTAAAATATTAGTATTAAATAATATTTAATTATAAATTTATGAGGGGAAAAAAAGGAAAAATCCCAAAAAAGGTCCTTGGAATATGGGAAATGCCAGATTGGGTCCTTAAATTTCGAAAATGACAGAATGGGTCATTGACCCAATCTGTCATTTGTGAAATTCAGGCGAATTGACAATTTTGCCCTCATTTATTCATTCACTACAATGATTCAAGGAATCACTATAAGAGTTTAGGTGTTACCTAGATTCGTGTAGTGAATAACTACTCACTTTTTCATAGTCAGGTGTCTTGTTATTAACTACAACTAATTCTGTAATCACTAGAACAATGTAAGTATTACCTAAATTTGTATAGAGAATAACTACTCATTTTTTCATAGTCAAATATCTTATTATCAGCAGGTACCTTATTATTAACTACAACGAATCTTGTAATCACTAGAACAGTGTAAGCGTTACCTAGATTTGTTTAGAGAATAACTACTCACTTTTGCTCAGGAGCAAAAATGTCAATTAGCCTGAATTTCACAAATTACAGATTGGGTCAATGACCTATTCTGTCATTTTCGAAATTTAAGAACCTAATCTGATATTTAGTATATTCCAAGGACTTTTTCTGGGATTTTTCCAAAAAAAAAATCCAAACTCGGCTTGTCCATGGACAATTTCGTAATTCGATATGCGATCCATTGGCACCAAAATTCGAAGCCCCATTTTGCCCTCCCGACTGTGCGGGATATACTACCCTACCACTCGAAGGCACGGCTTCTGGGTTGAAGCACAGTCACGCTCCTCCGTCTTCCCCTCACAATACACAAACAGGAAAACTTGCAGAGAGATTGAGCTTGCAGAAGCTCGAAACATCCCCAGACTCCACGGACCTTCAAAAGCATTGCAAATGGGAACCTTAGGGAAGGCCATATACACCGTCGGATGCTGGATTCGAGGGACTGGACAAGCCATTGATCGGCTCGGAAACCGTCTCCAGGGCGGTTACTATTTCCAAGAGCATTGTATGCACCCTTCCTCCGCTCTCTTTCTGAGATTTTAGGTCCAATTTTATCTTCAATTTGTTCATTAAATAGATAATTCTTTATATCCTTTCGTTGTAGATTTTGTTTGATCCATTATGATGAAATGCTGTCTGATTCTCCGTTATGTCCTTTAACAGAATTCGATTGTTGCTTTCATAGATCGATGTTTATCATAGTGAAGTCATCCTTAATAAGGCCTAGCTATAATGTTCATCCCAAATGTGTATGAAACAGAATTGACTAATTTATTACTTTTAGGGTTCTTAGTTCTTGTAACTTCAGTGAAGACAGTGGAGACTGCGTATCATTCAACTTGCGACAAAGAGTCTGGACTACATTAAATCTATCAACACGAACAACTATCCAATTTGCACTTTCTCATCAATAATATTTTTTAGTGTTAAGGAGTTGCTAATAACTTCATCGACATTTGAAAATTATGATAAAAATAATTAGAGATAGGAATTGGCAGTATGACGTTTCTGATTAATTTATAGTATTTAGCAGCGTAGTTACATTGCGTATTACAATTTAATAGAAAGACTATGAAGCTGTAGTTGAATTAATATAGGACAAAGAGATGGGATGTTCTATTTTGGACGCTCAAATTCATTATTATGAAGCTTCTAGCCACTGTTTCTCTCGAGAATATGATGATTGATTGTTTTCCTATTCTTTTCCACGCTGTATAGGTGCTGACGTTCACTGTCGCGGCAAGTTATAGATTCCATCCTGCCTTCCTTGTAGAGATTGTATTAGGTCTTACTGTACATTATTGATTATTGATGATGGAAGTATTTAGAATATGATGCAGCAAGCTATCTTGCTTTGGACTTGCTATTATACAAAATTCATTTTTCTGCTCTCATGTTTTGGTTTATTGAAAAAATCAATTATTTTGCATATGAATATATGAATAAATATATTAAAAATGGAATAGCATGCTATCTCTTTTACTTTAGCTTCTCAAATTTAACCATGAATTGTCCTCCTTCTGGTTTTTCTTGGGCTTTCTCTCACTGCTTTGCTATTATGCCATGTAAACTTACAAATCCGTTTTCTTTTTCACTGTGTTTAGTGTCTAGGCATCGAACTTTGATGAACATATTTGATAAGGCTCCTGTTGTTGATAAGGATGCATTTGTTGCCACAAGTGCCTCAGTCATAGGAGATGTTCAAATTGGAAGAGGATCATCAATTTGGTATGGATGTGTCTTGAGAGGTAAGGTCTTTTGATCATTTTTTTTAAAAAAATAATAGCTTGATCATCAATTAGAAGTGGAAACATTTTAGCGGTTTAATGCTTCAGTGGCTTATTAGATCAATGTTTGGAATAATTTGTTGCACTTACTCTTTAATTTTCTGCCGGGTCATCATTGTTGTGGAAACAATGCTATCCAATTTGGAGCTTTCATCTACTTCCCAACCATAATTTTCTGGGAGATGGCTCTCTTATCTGTTGATGAAAGGGAATTATGGAACTTATGTTCTCTTCTATATGCATGCATAGTACTATATGTTTGATCTTTATGTGTAGGTGACGTGAACAGCATCAGTATTGGAAGTGGGACTAACATCCAAGATAACTCCCTGGTGCATGTTGCTAAGTCAAATTTGGGTGGGAAGGAGCTGCCAACTATTATTGGGAACAATGTTACCGTTGGTATGTAATATTTTTTCCCATGAATGATGCTGCATTCTACCCTTCATGGGAATTTTATCAAATTTTTCACTGAGCAGGTCATGGCGCTGTTTTACATGGCTGTGTTGTTGAGGATGAGGCTTTTGTTGGTATGGGCGCGACACTACTTGATGGTGTTGTTGTTGAGAGACACGGTATGGTTGCTGCTGGTGCCCTTGTCAGGCAAGATACAAGGATTCCTGCTAGGGAGGTATGGTGTATGCGCATCTGCTGGTTTCTTGTGAAAATTAGGATTGCTTTCATGTGTGTTTGGAGCATGATTACCATTGTTGAGTTGAAATATACAATTAATGGTACGACAAGGGGTCATGATTTTTAATGCAAATCTCTCTGGTATGTTTTAGGGAACTTTGTTTTGTTATCGTAGATACTTTTAAGGTTCTGTAGAATTGAACGCTAGCAGGATATTGTATGAGTTTGGGATATTCTAGAAGAGTTCATTCTTGTCAACCATGTTTATTAGGCGTTTTCTGTTTACTTATGACTAAAGGAATGATGTAGTGTTAACGCATAAAAAATTTACTGGACTGGTGACAAGTCTGAATCAGGTTACCCCCCCCCCCCCCCACACCCTTCTTAGATGCTGGTTATATTAATCTTCAGCCATGATCAGTTAGCGCCAGCCTACATATGTTCCAGGTATGGGGAGGCAATCCAGCAAAGTTCTTGAGGAAGCTGACGGATGAAGAGATAGCATTTATCTCTCAGTCAGCCACCAACTATACTAACCTTGCACAGGTCCATGCGGCTGAAAATGCCAAGTCCTTTGAAGAAATTGAGTTTGAAAAGGCGTTGCGGAAAAAGTATGCACGTAAGGATGAGGAGTATGATGCCATGTTGGGTGTCGTTCGTGAAATCCCTCCAGAGCTTATTCTTCCAGATAACGTCCTTCCTGATAAAGCACAGAAAGCTGCTCAAAAGTGAGTTCTGCAAAAATGAATGTTCTGTTTAATTCCAATTTTGAAATGGCATCAAGGATATTTCCTTGTTTTGGTCAAATTCATAGAACAGGGACTACTGTCATTCCCAATAATGGTAGACATGTTTTAGGCTACAAATATGGCTTCTTTCCAGATTTGATCATCCATGTGCCATGAGATCTTTGAATTTGTCTTTCACTTTAGGAACGGAGCTTGTACTGCAAGTGTTTGTGAATCGAGTGCCCTGGTTGCTCGCGATTATTTAATCCTCCGTCATTTGAGTTATTTACAGCCCATCGTTTGTTATAATTTAGGATGTGATATACATTTTAATGTGCATTATATGCTAATAATACTAATTTATTTTACATTGAATTTTATTTTTTTAAATAAAATTTAATGTTGATTTTATCTTAAATAAAACAAGGCTTAAAATAATGGGAAAATGACCAAAAAAAAACTGAAAATTTGTAAATGCCACATAAGAAATACCAACAAAATTTTTTTATCACTTGTAAATTCAGTGTTGTCAACACTAAATAAAGTATTTTTATTAAGCTTGATTGGAGATTTAATAATTTTCAGCTTCTTTTTTTGTTATTTTTCTAAAATAATATCAACTTTAACTGTAAATTTAAAGACAATGATTTAAATTATATAAATACTTGTATTTAGAAGCAAAATAATTGAAAGTAGAATTTATAAATAGAGATGGGAAGTATAATAAGCTAGTCAATATATCCTTTCAGTCCTTAATGTGGACGTAGAACCTAATTATTGAATTGATTTTAGTGTAGATTCGCTTTTAATATTTATTAATTTTTTTAAATTATCTTTATTGATATTTTTTAACCACAATCAAGTGGGAAAAAGAGGGGGATATTAAGAAAAATAATTATAACATTTTAGAAAAAATATTATATTTTTTTAATAATTAAATAATTTATTTTTTTTTAATTTAATCAAATTAGTTAAATATACTTTTTGAGTATACACAATCTAATCTCAATTTTTCAAAATTATCTAGGTATAGTATCAATGGGATGGTTTAGAGTCTGTTTGGATAGCACATTCGGAAATACAGCTTTGGCATGAGTTCATTTGAAACAGAAAAACCTACCGTTAGATTAAGTTACATGCACGCGCAATTAAAAAATGACTAATTAAAAAATAAAAATAAATACACGTGTCCGCAACAACTTATAAACAGAATCATCATTTTAGAAAATGCAAAAACATCGCGTAAAAAATAATAACGCATGGTATTACTTATTATCCGATATAAATATAATTAATTTTTTCATTATAGTAAAATACTGCCCTCTTAGCATAAAAGCTTTCATTTGATATATTTCTATCTTAAAAGTACAAAATGTTTTTAAATCATTACCATAACAGTTTCACATCTTATTGGTAACCCAAAAGAGAGCACAACTTCAAAAACAACACATCAGCTTTCTCTTGTTTACATCATGTTCCTCCTGTTCCACGATATTGACAACGTTGAAAGTAGGGCTGTTCACGGGACGGATCGGGACTGGGACAGGCCAGTCCCGATTCTGTTCCGATGAACAGTTACGAGACAGATTTTCTGTCCCGTGTCCCGACCCGTCCCGGGATTGTCCCGATCCCAGTCGGGACGTCCTGAAAATATTTTTTTTAATTTTTTAAAAAAAATATGATTTTTTTAATTAAATTTTTTGAGCTTAAATCTTATAAAAACATCTCTTTATTTTTTTTTTATTTGTTCAGGTACTCTTAAACAAAAGCTCAAAATATTACATATAATAGTCATTAAAAACTCTAAACAAAAGCTTTTAACGCAATAAAAACTTACTAAAAATTCTAATCATCAATAATCTCAAATGATTAACAAATATAAAAACTCTAAATAAATATATCTATAGATCCATACAATAGTTTCAAATTTTAAAAAAATATGAAAAAAATGATATTATATAAATAGAATAAAAAATTAAAAAAATTAAATAAAAAAAAAAAGAGGAATCGGGACCGGAACGACCTCGTCCCGTCCTGATCCCTTTTTTATCTCGTTCCAGTTTGTCCCATCCCGAAAAATTTCAGAACGGATCCGTCCCGTCCCAATAAGACGGAGACCGGAACGGGTCGACCGGGACGGGCCGACCTTAAACACCCCTAGTTGAAAGAAGCATATTTCCGCAATGTCAATTCTTCTTTCTCTCTCTCTCTCTCCCCTCTTTTTAGGGGGGCGGGGTTGTTAATGACCCTATAAACTTCTTCAAATTTAAACTGAAAAAATGCCACGGCAATAATTAAGCACAGCCAGTCTGCCTACCGTTTTTGCCAGCGCAGGATAGTAAATCGGCCACTGAGGAAGACCACAAGAAACTGCCATGAAACTGTTGATAATTATGAGCCAATGATGAGTTGTATGGGAAAAAAAAAAAACGATTAAGAAAAGAATCCATCAGAAAAACTCGTCTTCCACAATCCCACAACACATTAACATGCCACCTAATCATCAAATGTCCATTGGAGCAATTCCTTGGTCTGCACCAGCACCTTGATCAGCGCCAGCATCCTCCCCACTTGCTGGCTGAGATTCAGCTGACGGAACTTCCTCCTCCTCCCTCACGATTTCAAAAGCATCAATCATCTGTTGTACAGTGTCTTGATCCAGTATGTGGAACGGCTCACCAACTCCAACCACGGCAACTGTGCATATGGAACTCTTGAGCTTCTCCCCTTGTAATGTCTCCCTTGTAGCAATAAGTGCGTCTTTAATCAGATCTTCCCGTGAAGAGCCCGAAAAGTTCTCAAACCTACGTTCTAAGTACGTCTTTGCAGCTTGTGAGCGCGACCCAATTGCAAAAGCCTGATATTCAAAGTAGTTTCCACTTGGGCAGTTGTAATAGAGATGAGCTCCAGCTTCATCTAATCCAGCCACCAGGAGACCAACACCAAAAGGCCGTTTCCATGACCGCTGGGTACAAACCTATCAATCTAATACAGATCAGAAATAGCAATCCAAGGACCACCTCAACCGAGTTACTGGCCAAAAACCTTGGCAATACGATATGCAGGTATCACTTCGAAAATAACGAATACAAAGCCTCCACAGCAATTAAATATTATATAAACACAAATCCCTGGAAGAATACCAGTCCTGGACTCCTGGTTTTGTTAAAAAAATTGGCAACAAACTCAGATGTTTAATCTGCTAGAAATGAGCCAAAAAGGTTAAAAGATCCTCCAGACAACCATAGAATGATGAGCAAAATTTTCCAGTTTCCTTCCCGTAGCCAAATCTCAGGTCGACTAAAAGCACATCTAAGATGTACCCCAAAAAACGCTGAATTTTCCTGTAAAAACCCACTGAATTTTGATAATAATAATATAAAAAGATTTCAATATTCAGAGATTTTCTACCTTTCAGTTTAAAAGTATGAGATACAAGTGCACATCAATACCTTATTTTATTCTGTTCCTTCAATTTTTAGGATCAAAATGGACTTCATTTTCTGAACAGTTCTACTAGCATCGAGGTGGGGGAAATTTATTCAACTGAACAAATTGACTTTTGTTTAAACAATAGATATTGTTGAAATTGAAACGAAACAAGTGCCAATTAAGAATACAAATTGAACCAACGTGCAGTTGGTTGAGCTGGTAAGTAGGCTCGCCCTCCGTAAGGATGAGAATGCATGTTTGAATCCCGGGAAGCGCTCTCGTTGGGAGAAGGGCCAACCCTGTCTATGTGGGCGGCACTCCTGCCCTTGAGTCCGGATTAGTCGGTTGCCAAAGGCGTCGGATTACCGGGCAGTATTTCACCCCAAAAAAAAAAAAAAAAACAAATTGAGCGCTGGGAAAAATGATACAGATCAGGCATTCAAATTATTCAGTCCATGGTGATGGTGATAGACCCTTTTTTCTTAAATGAAGGAAAAGAATCACAGAGGCTTTGTCTGTGACATAAAACTGTTTGATATTTCAAGTAAAGAGCACAGCATTTCAATTGAGGGACAGAAGACAAGATTATAGACAGCAAATGCAACCTTCAATTGGTGGATAGAAAACGTAGTTTTGATATACAGTGACATTAAATAAATGAAAACATGTTTTGCATGCACCATTTGATTATGAAATGCAGTATTTGAATGTGTTAGGTCTAATACTTCATGTCCCACCATATCAAACACAGATAAAGCACAAAATAGAGCAATTACTCCACAATAGAGTTTTAGGCAATCAAGTATAAGAACAGGAATGAAACTTCAACTACTTTCTTTTAGTGCCACACAAAACCTCCAGATCACAATAAACCAAATGGCATTAGAAAGTCCTAGAGTGTAACTAATATGTGGACTTGTGTTCCTTTCAACCATATCTTTTTTATAGCATATCTCGTTTATATGATAAAATTCCAGCTGCATATCATTGTGTACCAATACAATTTGCTATTAAAAAATAAGTCTCGAAATCCATAATATAATTACTATTGTGTTATAAGGTGATTTTACACTTATTGTGACTTGGCAAGTCTAAAACATCTGAAAGAGAAATGAAAAGAAACTGCAGACAAATAGCATTGTCATCTTATATTAGCCAGATCAGTGTACTTGAAGCTTGGGGGGGGGGGGGGGGGAATCCTATCTGTCTAAAATGATTGATTGTCTAATCGGTGCCAGCAGTCTCATGCTAAATTAAAAAGATACCTATCAAATAGTGAGCTTATCTGACGAAGATTCGAGTAAATATACAGCTCCGCGTTTGATCTATCAGTTAGTGAGGTCCCCCCCCCCCCCCAAAAAAAAAAAAAAGTTATTAGTTACCCCCACCGCAACAAAAGAATGCTACAGTCCCTAAAATAAGTCTTTTCCTGCATAAAGTAGACATGATCGATTGTTATATCTTCTGGAATATCAAAATCTACATCCTTATCTGACAGCAGCATAACTGCAGCTTCGATTTTCTATTTTTACTTCAAGATTGAAAACAGCTTCATCATCTGTCTATTAATCTCTCAAACATGCAATGTAGCATAGAAAGCCCAAGGATTTCACTCCTAGAGAAGAACAGCTTCCCCAAAATTAGACCTGACAGAATTATTTACTAAAATGCAAAAGTGATTAATGTACAGAAATGGGGGGCACAACAAAAATTAAAAAGGATGATTTCTTCGGAATCCAAAAAATGCACATGCTCCCGCATTCTAGTCTTCCTTTAACCAATTTCTTAAAACTCCCTCACTTTCTGGGGGCAGACTATTGAAAGACATTTCAACCCTAAAGAAAGCTAGCCCTGCTTGTTCCAAACAAAACCCTAGCTTTAATTCCACGATCTAAACACTAGCAATTCTGCGACTTGCACTTAATAACGACCACAGCAGCAGAAAATGACAGTTAATAATGCAAAATTAGAAGTGAGAAGCCCCAGTACAGTTTAAAATATGACACGGACCTGGGCCTTATCAGCGAGTTGAACAACGAGTCGACCAACAGGAAGAGGGGACTCGAAGGTATAGTTGTAGTTGATACATTCGGATCGCATGTAGCGGGAGAGAACGCGACCATCGGCAGTGAGACCAGCGATGGCAACGCCTATGTGGTCGTCAACCTTGAAAATCTTTTTCTGGTGAGAAGAAAGCTCGGAGTTAGCCTTGTTGACACAAGCGAGGACCACGTGGGTCTTGGATCGGAGTCCAATTGCGGCGGACCCTTGTTTCACTGCCTCCATAGCGTACTCCACCTGGAACAGCCTGCCGGCGGGGCTCCATGTCGTCACGTCCGTGTCGTACTGGTTCCTGAACATTGCTTACGATGTCGTCTCCGATTCACCTAGCCGCACGGTTTCACTCCTTACCGTCTTCGGCAGTACAGTCCGCCTATTTAAATTAGGAACTACAAGGTCTTTCTTCTTCCCCAAGCCTAACTAATAATTCTGCTTTATGCGGTGAACTCAACTCCAAGGCAGGAATACAATATACCCCGATCTCACATTCATCTGCTCTGCCCAAGTTTTGGCGCTCCAGCGTCGTTTCCCGCCCTAAATGGGCTACCCAAAAGCTCTCGGCCCAAATTATGCATGATCCAATTTTCAGAGGTCTCGCACAAACATTTTGACCATCCAAACGTTGGGATTATTAGAGGAGATCTTCAGCCTGCCAAAAAACCCAAAACAAAGGAAGACACAAAAGTTTGATAATAGCCCGAAGCAGACTAACAAGAAACGCAGGCCGAAAAAGCTAGTAAAAGCGATGTCCAAAAGAAAAGCATGTAGCAGTCAGGGATGGGATAAGTGAGTTTTGAAAAACTAAAAAAAATAATAATAAAAGGAAAAAGTAAAAAGGCAGAGCTATCTTGTATTGGTAGTATCGAGAAAAAATGGAAATTAAAAAATACAAAGGAAAATAAAGCAATAAAATGGAAATTAAAAAAATACAAAGGAAAATAAAGCAAGTTATTGCTTTCTTTGGCCTACAAGCTATTTCTTTATTCGTTGTGTGTAGGGGAAAGTTAGATTTGTTTATTTGATTTTACCAGGCAGTTAAAATAACTATTTACCAGCTAAGTGCTGTATTCAACCTATGCAGATCTCCCCTTGTTTTCATCCGCTATCCAACAAAAATATGCTCACAGAAATTTATCTTGCAATTTGCCAGCCTCCATGTCTTTTATCTATCTATTGTCGCCCAGGAGGAAAAAGAACATATATCTTGTTGTTTGATCTTATTATAGAGGAACAAATAAATATTTACAAGTGTTACGTTTCGGTTAAGTAGATCCTCAACTCCTCCTTATGGTATAATACACAACACAATCTTAAATTTGATGACATGCGGGTGTCAGCTACCCCCGCGGGTGCTGCCCCTTGATTTTGGGATTATTCTCAAATTTTTTTTTGCAGAGTTTTTTTTATCATTAGATTCTATATTAAACGTGTGACTTTTGATATTTTATTGGCAAAAAAAATAGTTTAATTTTGAATTTTTTTATGATTTTTTAAAAATTTAATGTTCTAAGTTAAAAAGAAATTGAACAATTTAAAATACTGAATTTTGAGAAATCGTAAAAAAAATTGAAAACTAAATCATTTTTTTGTAAATAAAATATCAAAATGTCACATTTTATTTAAAATTTAATGGTAAAAAACTGCAAAAAAAAATATTTGGAAAGAGCTACAAAATTAAGAGGCAGCTGATGCCGTCTCAAATTTGACCAATCTGGTATCATAACACTCCGATGTATATATACTGCCAACTTTTCTTTTGACCTCAAGAACACATACTTTAACTCGCTACCAGGTGTTGAGATAACTCCTTGCTGCTGCTATTTTTTTTTCACATTAGAAAACAATTAAAATTGATCGAACTCTTTAAATGCGACGCAGATTCGGAGTTTGAAAGCTTAATTCTCACCTGGCAATCGGGAGGGCGCGTAAAGTGATGATAGCTCAGTTTTATTGTTGTCGTTGTTGGTACTTTTTTTTATGTAAAGTAGCGGTTGAGGGTGGAGGGACAAAGGCAAACGAAAGTTGAGATTCTAAAGCCCTGCCGCAAGGAGAGAATATATCAGAATTGGAAGTCACAAAAAGATACTAAAGCAAACGGCACATCCTAATGAAAAGCAGATCATGATCAAGCAGCTGGATCTACTTATATTTATTTGATTAGGTCATTGAATTCTCCCAACGTCATGATTGAGGTTAGATTCTCCCAAAACCAGTACCTCGTAATTCGTCCCTTTTACTGGAGAGATCTGTATAGCGATTGGGCTTACACTCTCCTGATAACGGCACTTTTTTGCAGATAAGTTTCATGTTATAATCATTCCACTGGTTGTTGGAAAACTGAAAACTTAAAATAGCGAAGCGCTTCATAACTTGGTCGCACATGGCTAGCCGTTTGGCCAAAAAGCTTTGTTAGTTCTACAGTAATTGCACATGCATGGAGTTCAATTTTTTTCGCAAGATGGTAGTTGAGAGGTACGGCTAAATATTTAAGCCGTATTATGAGAATGAATTGACGTGACCATCTCCTCTCTTCAGCCTCTCCTTTCCTATTTCGTTTTATTTTTTTCTTTTTGACCAGCACCCTATTTCATATTCCCTCCATGATCGTTATTGCGTTCATGTACGTGTCAGATGTAACCCAGATTTATATAAAGGATGTCCATGGCGGATATGTTTGGGTGTGAAAAATGGTCGAGTCTTCTTCTTAATAAAAATATTAACGCTCTCTCCTTATCTTCCTCAGAATTTTGGGGTCTGTTGATATAATGATATTGTCATTTGTTCACTGATAAAAACACGGTATTGGTGTCCAAAGCATTTTGAATAATTTAGAACTCCATGCCTTTAACACTTAACCTTGCGTTCGCTTTTTCAGATCTTATTTCGAGATTCCCCTGTATTGATCTTTCTTTCTTTCTTTTTCCAATCCTTGCAATCTTGTATTGATTTTTCACATATCTAAGTTCAGGTATAAAACAAAACAAAAGTAATTACTAGTGACTCAAACGACACCTTGTATGAACGAATAATCTGAATGCAGCGTGGCAGCCCACTCAAAGACTTTATGGAATCACTTATAAACAGGTTTTATATATACTAAAACAAAATTATTTTTACATACTTATTTTATATCCAATAAATAATAATTAAAATTTTATTTATAAACTATTCTAAATAGATCCATGCTCCTGTGCCTCTAATATGCACACATCAGTCCAGCCTACTGTCGACAGCAACAGCTTTGCTGGACATAGGACTGGTGGGTTAACAAAATTTAACTGTCTCGTTGCAAGGTATAGACAACCAGCAAATGTTGGCCCCCAAAAGATAAAGGAAAAAAAAAGCAATTAACGACAATTTTTAAAATAGAGCAGGAACATTCTCTGACCTTTTTAATGAACGGGGAACTACGGCTACAAATATTCATAAGCGAGGATTACAGATGAATCGTAATTACGGTGTGAAAATTTATGCTGTTTTTTTTTCCACTTTTTTTTATTAAAAGCATGATAAATTCATATTCATATTTTTAGTGATAATAAGATCGGTATAACCGTGTAAGCCTTTCAGTTCATATATCTAATTATTAATTTTATTATATATTTAATGTATTATTTCCTTTTAAAAAAAATATTTCCAAGTAAAAACATAGATTCCGTGTCTGAGTATTGCCAACCATCCAGGTCAGAAGCCGTGACAGCTGGAAGCAGCAGCGCAAGAAACTACGCGCAAACCCCTCTTCTGGGACAAAGCGGAAACAATTTAATTGCAATTTTGAGACTTTATTGGTGAGTAGATTTAAAATTACTCGAATGTATTCTTTTAGTTTTTAATATAAGATTTATTTAATTAATTTGATTAAATTAAAAAAATTAGATAAATTAGTTAATTATAAGAAATATGACATATTTTTTTAAAACACTATAATCATCTTCTTCAATTTCTTCTTTTTCTCTTTCACTTGATTATACTTAAAAGAATATTAATAGGGATAATTTAGAAAAAAATGATAAATATAAGAAATAGATATTATATTTAAAACCAAAATCAACTCAATAATTAGGTCCTATATTAAAAATTGGAGGAGTAATATTTTTTGTGCTTAAAAAATACAGAACATTGATACCTTAAATATGAACATTTATTCAAGGCCCAAAAAAAAAAGAACATTTATTAAATTTTTCATTAATACTGTTTTCAAGAGCTTTCTTTTTTTAAACATTTTTCCGCGCAAACATTTTTTTCTCAAATGAACAAGTTTAGCATCGGGTCAAAGAAATATATAGATTTATTACTACAATCGTGATGTCTCTGTACTTTACTTTGTGCATTGCCTAAACTTCTTCAGTACTGATAATTGAGAAGATGAAAAGTAATACTCCATTAAAATATAATTATATCCTATACTTATGTTGTGTATATGTGTATAAATATTTTCTTTATTATTTTTAAATAGACTTTATTCTTATGTATGGTTTTTGAAAGTCTAAAATTTTTTCTTGCCTCCCTGGTAAAAAAAATATTTTTTCTTGCCAAACTTATAAAATCATTAATAATGCAACTTACTATTATTATTTTTGCCAACAATAATGCAACTTATCATTAGAGCATGACATGACATAACGACCTACTTATAATTAATTTTTAATTTAATTCTAAATATAAGATTTCAGTTCATTTTGTTTTTTATATTTATCCATTTTTTAAAAGTCTTTTTTGTATTGGTTATAGGTGTTAAATATTTTATTAAATGATATTTAATTAGTAAAAATATTTTAAAAAAGATAATACATATTTATTATAAATAATTATTTTAATTAATTTTTTAATATATTTAAATTAATTAATTAACTATATTAAGAGTGGAAGGCAGTGATATTTTTCTTTTTGCCTGGAAAAGAGAATATATCAAGGAAGGCCTAATTCCATTGCTGCTCAGGCCAAAAAAAAAAAAAAAAGGGGAAAATTCCATTGCTGGCAAAGTCTTTTCACGAAACTACCCTTTAAAATGACGTTGTGGCGGTGCTGCTAATGGTTTGACAGATGGAACCCTGTTACTGTTCTGTTTCCATGGCCTGCATCACGACAACTAACGGGCTCCGTCTTTTCTTCGATAATGGTGAGATTGAGCCCTGACTGACTCCACCGGCTCTGCCGGTCACCTCTCCCCTTTCCGATCACTTCAGTTCTGCACTCGCCACTGTAGTGCGTGCTTCTCAGTCAGAGCCCCCGTTTATAGTTTTTTTAACAGTTACGACGCACTGACTTTTTCGGACCGCCTTGCCCTTTCCCTCTCATTTTTCTACAACCGGAAAAAGTCTTGTTCATTTTGTTTTTCTCATTCCGTGATCCTTCTTCTCTTCTCCGTGTCTAACTCTGCGGAATCACTCTGCGGAGGAAGAACACAAGGAAGGAAATAAAGAGACTCGCAATGGATTTCGGAGCTGTCACGGCTAAAAAGTTCTC